CCGCCGTGGAAGGTGAGCCCGAATCGTTCCTCGCAGATTGTCTCGATTTCTTTCCTGAAGTTGACGATGCTGAGTGGGTTGTCAGGCTGTTGGAGCGACGGATTGATAGAGAACTGGATCCTAACCATGGTCTCGGAGAAGTGTTGCTCGATATCCGTAATCTCCGCGGGAGTAAACCCTTGGAAGAGGTGTGCCTCGCGTTCCCAGTACATGGTCATTGTGCGGTATAGGATCGGTTGTCCTTCATCGCAGAGGTTGCGTAGGCCTGGGAATTGGAGGGCAGTGTTGGCATCATATTCGTCAAGGTCTTCCTCGTGTGAGGGTGGGTCGGTGGAGTCCTGCGTGTGCTGTGTAGGGTCGGGTGGACAGGGCTGGTAGGACGGGGTAGGCGGGTAGAGCATAGCTTGGTGGCGTTTGGACGGTGGTATCGTGAAGGAGGGGTGAGCGAGGTTCAGGTCTGGATCGACTTCGGAGTGTGGGCGTTTGGTAGCGGGGTGGGTAACGGACCTGGTGGATGAGGTGGCCCGGTACGCGGCCTGTCCTATGGTTTCCATTGGCTGGACAGAGGCCTGTCCCAGTGGGGTGGGTTGCTGGTCCGAATCTTGTACCGAGGGTGCCGTTGGTCCGGTGGGTTGTGGGTGTGGTAATGTCCAGGTGCCCGGGGATGGTGGTGGGCTAGAGGGAGGCGTGGCCGAGCGTGGGTGCATGGGAGGTGTGCTTGGTTGTGCAGTGTGCCCATGGTGGAGAAGGCTCAAGGCTTGGTCCGGCGGAATTTGTCGCTGAACGGTGCCGGATGGTCCTGGTGATGGGTGAGGTGATGGGTCTGCTGGGAGTGGGACGTTTGTGCGATTGTGTGCCCCGGGGTGGCGCGAAACTCTGGTGAGACATGGGACTGATGAGGTGGCCCGAAAACTCGTGGGCCATAGGGTGGTGCACGTGGGCGTTGTGGGGTCCGCGGTGCGGTTGGTTGGTAGCATCCTGGCAGTAGTCGGAGGAGGTGGAGAGGCAGTGGTAGGGGATGGTGTGAGACTGCTGGTCGGTATAGTGGTGGCCTGGGTAAGAAGGGGATGTGCTGGAGGAGTGGGATGATGACGGGGAGGATGGGTGGCGAGTGCAGTATTGGGTGCACTGGCAAGGAGTGGTTGTGGTGGTAGGGGATGGGAAGTTTCTCGCGCGAGGTCCATGGGTCCTGTTGTGTTATCGGGTGTCTGTGTACGTCGCCATGCCGCGGGGAGCGAGCTTTGCGTGGAGGAGCTGCGTATGGTCTTGGTGGAGGTGGGTGTGGTTGGCGTGATAGTGGATGGGGCTGGGCCGTGGGCAGACTTGGAGGGCAGGGCCTGAGGTGGGGTAGTGGGCGGGGATGGCTTGCGAGCAGGTCGGGGACGGATGGGTTTGTCATCCTCAGAGAGGTATTGGGTCGGAGTTGCCGTGTGGTTGGCGTGAGTGTTGCGCAGCCTGGATGGGCGGGGTTGGCGTGTGAGAGGCCTCGTGGCGGCGCGAGTTGCCCGGATGCGATCCTGTCGGGCTAGGAATTTGTCTGCAGCTATTTTGGAACGTATCTGGCGTGGGGTTAGTGGTGTGGCGGCAGGGGGCCGGTTCGTGTCGGGTTCCGAATCCGGGTCAGAGGAGGATGACGGGAGCGGAGCGCGTATTGTGCCGGTAGCCGGCACGAGGGTGGGCGTGGGTATCCCGTTCCGGGTAACGAGTACTGTAACCATGGGGGGTGTCGTTGACGCGGGGTTTCGGGGTTTCGGGGTTTCGGGGTTTCGGAGAAGGTGGGCCCTTTTACTAATAGGAAACTTTTAGGTATATGCTATAGCTAGTAAAATCGGCAGTGATACAACATGTCTTGGAAATGTAAAAGAGAGTAAATGTTTGTCTTGGAACGTTTAAAAATATTCGAAAAACAAAACAAATATGCTTTTAGGTTCCTAGATAGTTTATTTTCATACGTTTTGTTTACAAAATATGCAGTTTAGATGCT